ATAAACAATAGGACTGAAATATACAGGGTGTGCCGTAAGCACTTGATCAAAAAGGTAGTTGTACAATCTTTGGCCCAAAAAAGCCGAGATAACTCAAGTTTTATTAAGAAAAAATGTCTGGCTTCTTAGCTATTGGTGGTCAGAATTCGGTAGAAAAACACGTTTCTATAAAAAAAACTGATTGAAAGTCTGAAATTGTTAAATAGCAAAAAAGCGTAAATACTTTTTGGGCAAAGAGAATGATTGAAGCACAAGTTTACAAAGAGCACAAAAATATCTGCAAAAATTAGCGCATCAACTCAAAAAAATGCGTTGATTCCAGCATCTAAATAAAAAAATCTGGTAGTTTTTGCGCCAAGATACTCAAGAATTTACCATTGGCCCAAAGTGGATTAACTCGGTTGCTTCATGAAAATGCGAGACGTTCCAGTCTTTTTCAGAAATTGTATCCATTGCTAAAGTGTAATTCGTAAATAAAACTTTATCCCTCGGTCTGTTTGGCGTCCCGCAAGGAAAAAAGTCATGCGATTTGCGATATGCGGATGACATCGCCATTGCTGTGCAAAGCAAGTCTGAAAACACTTTATCATCAACATTATCGTCATTATTCAAGAAGTGACCATCAAAGAAGAACGAATGAATGCATGAAGAAAACACCCAACTTCTTATACAAAAAGGTTTTCCATGATTTCTGGAATATAAATGAATGCATGATCCATATAGTGTTTTGAATGGATTCCTTTAACAGTGGGTGGCCAAATAAATGATATTTCCTGGACAAACTGGATATATTTATGCATGGGTAAGTTTTTCGTTCCATTGTGGCAGCCGTTTTCCGCCAAAAGCCACTAAACTAAAAACTCCTAGCGTTCCGGCCATTATTAACGCATCGACGAGCAACGAAGTCAACGCGCAATGCAGAAATACCGCACCAGTCAAATAAAAGAAACCAAAACCCAATAAGGTCCGAAATTGATTTTGTTCGGTGGGATGAACCGGAAAAAGAAATTGCCTGTATATAAAACAAATCAAAGTGTAAATCCGGGGGAAAAATTCGAACGTGGCAAATTCAATATTTTATTGCCGACTTGACCGCTGCAAATCCGCCAGTATTCATTTAGCAAATTTGATTGTTTCGCGAGAAATTATTCGATAACAACCTAATACCATTCGAAAAACGACTCCGCTCCGAGCTAATTTCAGCTTTGCCGTTTTATCACTTTTCCGTTCGTGTTAAGTGCAATCTGGAATTTTGGGCGCTAATTCTGAGCTTAATGGTCCCGAAAATACTATCACTTTTAAATCCATTTGCTTCGAGAAGCTGGCCCTGACCAATTGTAAGCCTGGATTAAAATTGGTAAAGAAAATGGGGTCACGCGTTAGAAATAGCACTCAAGAAAGGTTTGCTCCTGGATTTTTTCGATTAGTTTTAACTCCAATTATGGGGAAAATTACCTTCGTCGTGGAAATGACAAAGAGAAGCTCTTCAACTGAAAATCAGATCAATATGGAAATACCAGCCAAACAACAAGAAAGGAGGCAACAAGAAATAGAGATTCTAATTGCTGCTCGTTGAACACATCAAGTAATCTGATGATTTTTACCATAAAAAAAGCTATAAAATTCAAACTGCTCAAAATGCGTCTGGTTCTATACAAAAAGTTTCATGAGTTCTCCAACAAGGAAAGCTTAAAACAACGAGCTATTGAATGAGAACAAAACCGGATGATCTGAAGACTTCAAGTTTTCAAAGAAATTGAACAAGAGGAAGGGACAACAACGAAGAGTTCAGGGCAAAGAAGTAAAATCACGGGGCAACTACTGGCCTTATTGTTGAAAAAATGAGAAATGTTGACGAAAGCAAAAATGTTTTCCTTTTTTTGTAGTCTCCTTATGCTTATACAAGATGATAAGTAGTAAATTGAAGACTTCCCTCGACAGTTTTCTACTTGTCCAAAGCGGCAGAGGTTTGGCGGCACAAAACGCTCCTAACCCATCTGCCTTTTATGAAAAGGTGTCGGTATTATTAATAAATTAAACAAACTATCTGCCTTTCCACCCCACACGATTCAAAGTAACGGAGATGAATGATAAACCGCCTTAAACCATTCAGAGAAAGTTGATGCCAAGATCCGAAAATTCAGACCTTCTATAGGCTACTGCCGCATTTATCGTTCTAAAGTAAACCGAATAGAGTAACGTTATCTCATTCTTACAGAACTATTCTAATGGCAAGATAAGTTGGAGACCGTCGTTCAAATAGATGGCACTAACTATCACATTAATCAACTGGTTGACAGGATCATCTTTCAATATCCGCACAGGGACACAAATCAACCAGCAGCTAACCCGGGGATCTTTGTCATTATCTGCCGATCGGAACCAGCAATTTACATAAAGGACTATAAAAAATTACCTATCTATTATGTTGCCAAGTCATAAAGTAACTGTCGTCGGGCCCGAAAGTTTCCATGTAATAATAGAGCGCCGAAGACAGTAATGAAGTATTTGGGTTGTCGAAGTTATTATTCGCCTAGACAATTTATGAAATGTTTTATTCCTTGAAGACTGCAACAAAAAATCCGCATTCATTTTATTACAAATAAATCGCCAAAGTTTTCCACAGCAAAGATTAAATCAAGGAATCAATTGAAAGAGGAACTTTAGTCGCGTGGTATCCGCATTGTAATCAATCATGCAAACCACTCAAGTAAAGCAAAACAGTAGAACAATTTACCGAAGCGCGCTGCAGCTGAATTATTATTTAATTCTGACCGCACGATCGAGCTCTATGCGCTCTTTCAAACGCCCGCGCCACACTCCGCTTCCCCCTGGTCTTGCTGAAGCAAAGCCGTGATTTAAGCACACATTTCGCTGCATTTAGTCCAGCGCCACCGCACTATTGAGTAGTAGAGTAGTATCGCGTGTTTATTCGTAAAGGTTAAGCAGCTTTCTAACTCAACGTGACCAGATATGATCCTGTGGTCAAACGGCTATTGTGTAGTAAATGTATAAGTAATTATGCAACATATTTTTGCTCTGCAGTAACTTGAACTTTCCCTGTTTGATTTAATTTTCGACTTTTGTTGAAATGTCGAAGAATAATGGTTGCATCCACTTTCCAAATCCATCGTATTCAAATAGTGCAAAACAAGTTCTTTATCCTGGCAGCAAACGTGCTCGAATTTGTCTAAAACACAGCAGGTGTTGTAATATGTTTTAACTGATTGAAAATGTAAATGCTAGAAAACTCGCACGCCACCTGAAACTTTCGCTCTCCATATGCTATGTCTTAAATCTGTTAGTTTAGCAAACTGCCAGAAGTTCTACGACATAATACTGAATGCGAAAAGAAGATAAGCAAATAAATTTTGAAGTGTGCCCGTCCGACCTAAGTAGACCCTTTAGGGCCAAGCAACTTCTATAATAAAACAATATAATCTGATTAAACGGAGATTAGAACCGAAACTTTTTTAATTCAACTTTGTTAAAGAGGCTTTAGAAGCAATTTCAGCGTCCGTTCAGCTGTTTACAAGGCTTTCGTCGGTTGAAGAGAGATAACGTGATTAAGACTGGATATTAAAATTATTATTTTTGATTACCTGATCTATTTTACTCATCTGATATTCATTACAACCACGCAAAAGTAAATGCTCAGAATACAGAGGACTGAGGTTTCGAAGTAATTAAAAATACATACTGGAACTAAGCGGTAGAAGCAAGCAGTGAAAAACAACAGAGAGTAAAACAGTGTATATCCGAAGAATGGCACACCTTGGGATAATGCTATGATTAGATATGCGGATGATATAGTGGTTGTAGCAAACGCAATCCAACGTCTACACCAGTGTACATTCAAGTGTTTTTAAAAATGTTTTCAATGTTTCCGCATGCCTTTCGTATTAGATTAATAGTGAAATGGATAACACCAAGACGTTGTGGCACATCTGAATAACATGATAGCGATTCACAGCCGGTTCCATTATTATGGTTACATAATTATCCCATCGGAAACTCTACATTCGCAGGGTTATGTGGGGGGATGAGGGCCTGATGTATGCTACAAAATAGACGGAGCCTGTTTATTCGTATTCAGCACAGCACGCGTTAATATATTATATCTCTGAAGGGAGTTAAATTGAAGCTATCTAATAAAATACGTGTATTAAGGCAAAGTTCTCCTCTCTTATATAGAGTGATCCCATTCAAGATGGCACACGTAATTTGAATTATTCAAGGGTGCAACTAGTGTGCCACGAAGTTCCGATCGTTGCCCGCTTTTCATGTTGATTTCATCCATTATGTTTTGTAAATTTTTCTCCAATTTTTGTGCAAACATTCACCAGTACATCATTCAGCGGATATCCACTTAAATCCATCGGAAATTTAAATGGAAGGGAAAAACGTTTTCCATGTCAAATTATTTTTTTGGGTGATAGTGTTTGATTGAGTCTACTTTGAAGAATATCTAAGAAAGCATTATCAAGATTAACAACCCAAACAGAAGGTTTAGAGATTTCGAAGTTTTTTCTAAACGGCGTTTAGAGACGCCATAAGAGTCGTACTCAAATAATTTGCAATTAATCAATGTTAGGAGATGAATAGAAAAACAATGCTAAAAACAGACAGAAGAACGCAAGATAAATTTGATCCTAAAACTTTCACGACCACAAATACTCCAAATCTGCATATACATTGACCTCAAAAAAACATTAAAACGCCCCTTTTTCTTCCATAGAGTAATTTCATTGAACAAATGATTTTTACAAATATTTCCTGAAAAACTCCAACTTTAGAGAAAAGTGCCATTGAGAAGTATTCAGGACTTCAAAATTGCATAAAGTTTGTAGCAATCCAGTAAACAACATATTTTTATCCACTTGAGAAAGATTAGAGACTTGAGAATGATTCATAGAATGAAGCGTAAATTCATTCCTCAGTGTGCAAAATTTTATCTATTTCGGGTGGCCGCTTTCCGGGATACTTCGATTATGCAACAGAGGAAAACTCAAGGTTTATTAGACTGATTTAATAAAATCAAAAAATGGTTTGCAGTCAAAAGCTTGCTATTTTAAAAACAGTTTTCAAGATTTTTAAATTGCTTTGTTTATAGAACCGCCATTTTAATAGAGAAAACAGTTTTCTAATCTTTGCTTTGTTACTTCAAACTTTTTCTATATTGAGTTAAAAATAGAACAAATGCCAAATTCCTTGCCTAAAAACTGTTAAGCGCGGCAGCGGACAAATAATTTTTTGAATAAGAAAAATGTCCTACTTTTGGCGGGACTTGAACTGTTGTACTGTTGTTCAAGTCGCGCCGAAAGCAATACATTTTTCTTATTCCAAAAATTATTTGTCCGCTCAAACCGCGAAAAAAAAATGTTTTGTTTAGAATTTTCCGACAACGAAAAACTCTTTGATACATTATTTGTAAACTTGATGCATTTTGACGCCCTAAATGATACTCCGTAGCTAAAAACACAGATTCTCCCAATAAAACGACAGAAGAATAAGATCTAGAAACATAAAAATGTGAAAAAGTTAAACCCGCAAGTGAAAGCGCAACTGAGTTATGGGGGGCCTAAATATATGAAAAGCGTCCTCTTCTACAGTACGTGGAATAACTATTGGCACCCTTCTTTCATATTGATTTCAACGGCAATTTTGGGCTGCCTTGCGAAAGAAAATGCACACAAAACCGTAAAGTTAGATTGAAGCATGATGCCTGGAAGCAGATTATTCAAAATAATGAATACACACGCAAGTTAGTTTTGTCAACAGCAGTTCGAGCACTCAAAACGCAAACTATGCATTCAACGAACCTACAAACACACCGGCACTGCTGAAAACCCACTTAGCAAAACATTTTCGAATGCTTTCCTGCTAAGTTTCCAAAACTTTCGTCGTTAAGGTCTCGTTCACCCTGTAGGCGCATTTGTGGATTACATAATAGAATTAACCCAGAAAGAGCTAAGCTGAATTACACAGCATCCAATGTTTTTGTTCACTTTGCAACATGCCTAGTTTTTCCTCTAGAATGAACTCAACCGCCCTCAGGGTGAAACTGCGTAAAGGCTCTTTTGAGCTGAATAAATACACATTTTCGAATCGAAACCATGTGATAGTAAGTAGATGACTAGATGAGATAATAAGTTAATTTACTAGTTGAAATTGGGGATTATATAAACGGAATTTCCCAATTTAAGTATAAAGTGATAATGAAAATATACACGGCACCTGGAAATGACTGAATTGCACATAATTTTTCCAAAAGCTCAACTCCAGAGACGCATGATCTCACACGGAAGCAACTGAACGACTGACGGGTTGTAAATAAGGGATTAATTTTGCCACCGAAAGTTGGAAAGTCTCTTCAATAAACTTACGTGCTGGGGAGTTTTAAAAAAATATATGAGTATTCCGGGGATACTCCCATGAGCTACCGATTTTTTGAACAGTTTTTGATTAGAGCTCTGGTTGTGGAACGCATTGTAATTTCCCAAATTACTTCTTCAGAGCGAGAATTTGTTTCCACATAACATATAGCTGTGCCGAATTATTAATAAGCAAGTTTCCAGTTTTCTCGTCAGATTAATGACGGACTTGGCATGTACAAGTTTCCGTTCCCGTTTCTTGCGCGAGCCCTTTTCCGAATTATCCTCCGCAAGTTTTACGTGGCGCAAAAATAGATCCGACCTAAATCCTCCAAGTTAATTCAAGTTTTTACTCGGCATTGCCCTTTAATTTTGTTAGGCAACAGATTATTTAGGTAACCCATATGTCATAAACCCTTTTAAGTCCCATGTTAATGATCGGGGCCTCTCTCAAAGTCCCGCACCTCGGGGCGGTGATTATAAATTCCTACCTCACGCGAAAAGTGAAAGGGGCGTAATTTTGTAATTAAAATGACTAATTATCTTTTCAAGAAGTTTCGTTTTTGTATCGGGCGGGTTCGGATTCGGATTAAGATATTGTTTGGACAGGTTGAGTAACGGTGCTGTTCACATTATACATCGGTAATAGACGTTGAACTTAATTTGGTTTCAGTTTGGTGTGAATAACATTGCAAAAAACGAGGTATTTTCCTAAGGAAATTACCTATTCTTTAAGTGGTAGTTGCGATAAGGCGCAAGCGTTTTTGCGAATAACTTAGCAAATTAATCAGGCCATAGTTAATTGACCAAGTGAAATAATTCGTAGTGAATAAATACTTGTGTGCTTTTTTGGGGCCTTAAAGCAAAGCTAAGTTTTTAACTCATTCGAATGGCGAATCAATTTGTCTCTGAATTTCACTTGTTACATTTGCTGTCTTCATCCTGCAGCTCTACATTTTTCCTTTTAGTGCTTCCGCTAGGTTCATTATTTTCTTGTTGCAACCTCTTTCCGAAACCGAAATTTCCATCGCTCATAGTTCGAACATCTGAGCTCATTTTAGTAAAAAAATTTGCGAGTGGAATAATTTGCTCACTATCTATGTTAAAAATTGTGACCTCTGAATGAACATCTGGAGACCATTTAAAGTGAAATCATTAGAATATCGCCATGGTGTGTAAATCCCGCTATAAAAATTTCAATTTCAAAGTCAAATAATTTCCCAGCTAGTCAAATTTTCTATCGGGCGCTGTAAGAAAGGTTTCGACTCGAAGCGAAAAATCAGTGGCTAGAAAATTTCATTAAAACTTTGTAATTTTTATCCCCATCAACGATCACAAATTTCTGCTTGACTGAAAACGGTTCGTTCTGCACTTAAACTGACATCAACGAGTCAAGTCTTGCCTTTTTTATGTCGATGGAAGGCCATCAAGCCAATTTACCGAGTACGCGTTTTATTTGAAACTTTTATCTGCAGCATTAGAGATACGGGAATTACGAAAGGGTGTCGATTTTTTTCCATTCAGACCTCAATATACATTTTACAGTTTATTGCTTCAAACTCGCCCGGTGTCTGTTAACAAATGTTAAAGGTCTTTTACGATTTCCACTGTCTGCATTTTAGCCATTAACATGTCTGAAGATTCAGGCCAGGTTTCACACTTTTGTCTGCAAAAATGTAATGATTTCATTTCATCATCGAGCCCTCGTTGTTTACAAGGGAAAACTTCAAGCTTTCACTACTTCTAGAAACTGCTTGTGTCTGCACATGCTGAAAATTTCGCACAAATGCCATCAACGCCTGATTTTTGGCGACTTGAAAAATATTGCAGTAAAAATGAAAGTTTCCTCTCTAGTGTCCCCGCTATTTAAAAATATTGTAACTTTCAGTCGTGTTCGAGGAGAAACTTCAAACTTTTACCACTTTTATAAAATGCTTCTGTCTGCAGATGCTGAAAATTTCGCGCAAATGCTATTAACTCCTGATTTTTGGCGACTTGAAAAATATTGCACTAAACATAAACATTTCGTCTCCAGTGTCCCCGCTATTTAAAAATGTTGTATCTTCTAATCGTGTACGAGGAGAAACGTCAAACTTTCACCACTTTTTATAACGCTTCTGTCTGCACATGCTGAAAATTTCGCGCAAATGCCATCAACTCCTGATTTTTGGCGACTTGTAAAATATTGGACTAAAATTGAAAGCTTCCTCCCCAGTGTCTCTGCTGTGTAAAAAATTTGTAACTTCCAAACGAGTTCAAGCGAAAACTTCAAACTGTCCCCTGTTTTAGAAAACATTTATATCCGAGCATGATGAAAATTTCCCATAAATCCTTACAAATTCTGAATTTTAGTGGCTTAGTAAATCTTGGACTAGAAATGAGCGTTTCCTCCCAAATGCTCCTGATATTCAAAAATTCATAACTTCCAACCAAATAAATAGGCAAACTTCAAACTTGCACCACGTCTAGACAATACTAGCATCTATACATGGTGAGAATTTCAGAGAAAAGCCGTTAACTGCAGATGTTTGGCGACTTGGTAAGTCTTGGGCTAGAAATAAACACATACACTCAAGTTCTCTCGCTTCTTAAACAATATGTAACTTCCAATCGAATACAAAGGAAAACTTCAAACTTTCACTCCTACTAGAAAGAACTTCAACGGCTTTTTGTGCTGAAAATTTCGTTGAGAAGCCATAAACTCCTAATTTTTGGCGACTTGGTAAATAAAGGACTAGAAATCAACGCTTCTTCCCAAGTGCCTTCGCTGCTCAAAAACTTCCAATTGACCACAACTGGCAACATGAAACTTTCACAACTTCTAGATCACACTTAAGACTGCCTATTCGAAAAATTTCATGTCAATAAATTAAATTTTAATTTTTACGGCCTTGGTAAACGGGCGGTGCCCCCGCTGCTTTAAAAAATTGAATCTTGAAACTTTTACAACTCCTAAACAACCCTTGTGTCTGCCACCAAATGCTGATTTTTGCGAACTTTTGTAAATCTCGGACTAAAAATGGACGTTTATTAGCGGACTTTATTTCAAATCATTTCGCCGGGAAATCATGGCGCTTGAAAGGAGACATTTCTGGACAAAGCTTGTTATTTTCCGGCAACGAAATATCGAACTGGATCAGAAACATGAATAAATCGGAAATGTCTTTCGAAATAATTGGGTCGTAAAAGCAAGAAATTCGATAGGTTTGGTCGGTTAACTGGAGGTCGTCGATTGCAACGCGAAAACTTATTGTTCGATCTGGACTGACCTGGACCTCTTCTGGAATAAACAGGAAGACATTCTCGATAATAGCTTAAATTTGACTTGGCCAGCCAGCGAAAAGCTGATAAACAGGTCTTTTTAATATAATCGTGTTGTAAATGAGATCATTTGTTGTATTAACAAGGAGGAGTTCAAGGGTTCAAAATTGGAGGTGTTGTCTACAGACACAAACAACTTAGATATTTGCAAAAAAAGTATCATAAATTTGAGAAAAAGCTTTTTTATTCTAATCCACAAATGACGGTTTGGTACATTAACATACTTAAATATCGGGTTGCTTATACTGCAGACTGTATTTTGCAGAAGGGCCCAAAAACGCGAAAAAATCATCAGCTTCCAACTATGGCCGCGCAATCCACGTAAAACCCACTTGCTCAATTTTTTAATTCCATCAATCTTCTGCTTAAATCCAAAATGCCCAATGTAGTAAAGATGTATAAGCAACATTAAGTCGAGCTATTTAATATTTACTCCCTGCTTTCGAAATGACAATTTAAAAAATCACCCTCTTTTATTTCCATTATCGAAAGTACGAACACCGATAAGCACAAGAAGGGACGATGTAAATAAGTGTTTGCGCCACTTAGGGTATTAGCGTCTTTAAACTGAACAGTAAAGAGTGTAAAATAAATGTCTAAAATGATCATGCATTTTGAACAAGTTGATTACGGCAATTATTTACTTGTGTGGTAGCCGAAACCTTTTCGCTTTAAATATTGGGTAAAATTGAACGGGGCAGCGACGATGTCGATCAGTTAATGTACTGAAAGTTTAACTTTTGGAAATGTTTAAACCGCATTCATGCTTATTGATTATTGATTAGATTTTAGACAGCAGAAAGTTTCGCATAGATTCGAGAAACCTGGCAGTAAATGTATATAGTGAAAGAATCTAACTACCTTTTATATGCAATAAGATTTTTCTAAATTGGAATAGAATGGAAAAGCTAGCAAATGAAAGTCGCAAAATAAATTGCAGTGAATATCATGGCATGAAGAAGCACGAGTGCATGGGGGCATGGAGTCTTCACTTTGCGGATTTTTATCGCCTTTTTCTACCAAGAATTTCTGTAAAAGTTGTCAACTTATCTGCAATAAAAAATACAAAAATTATTGCAATTTTACTTGAGCTGGAAAAATGATCGATTGATGGATATAGAAACTTTCATTTTTGCTTTCAAACGTCCAAAAGGAGGACTTACTAGGGCTTGTTCTCCAAGAGTCATTTTTATTCTTGTTGTATCAAGCCACGACTTGAGATCAACTTCAATCTCCACACTTTCTATCAATAAAGTATGTTTTCTTCGAGTTTCACTCATATGGACAATTTGAGCAGCTTCTTATTATCTTTACTAATCGGGTTCTTATTGTCTTCTTCTACAACGTCTTTATAAGCGGTTAAAAAAAATGCGTTTGGAAAAATGGTTGATTTATGATGGAAACTTAATTATCCCTTTTGAAAAATCCAAAAGTGGGAAAATCCCTTAGCATTTTTACCACCAAAAGTTATTCTAATTGTTGTCTTATGAAACCATAACTGAAGATCAACTTCAATCACCACAGTCTCTGGTCAATAAAGTATGTTTTCTTCGATTTTCACTTCTATTGCAAATTTAGCAGCTTCTTATTGACTTTACTATTCAGGTTCTTATAGACTTCTTTAGAACTCGTTTATAAGCGGTCGACCTTCGTTCGAAGAAAAATTCAAAAATGAGTGCAAAATTTACGAGCTGGAAAAATGGTCGATTTATGAATGATGCAAATTTAATTTTCGCTTTATTTTCCTGACTGCGTGTAATTGTTATTATATTTTTTCTTTCCTGGTTTCAGTCAAATGTGAAATAAAAATATTTCGAAACGTTATATGAAATAAACGATATGAACATTTTTATTGCACATTTTGACTGAAAGCCAGGAAAGAAAAAATATAATTTAACTTTTGGGATTCAAAAATTTAAAAGTTGGAAAATCGCTCACCTGCGCTTGTTCTCCAAAAGTTCTTTTAATTCTGGTCTTATAAAACCATAACTGGAAATCAACTTCAATCAACACATTTTCTCATTAATTTAGAAGTTCACGTTCATCTTTCTGCCGAGCAGATCTTTTTATTAAATGAACATGATATTCTTATCTTTCCTGGGTATCAGTCAAAGTGTGAAGTAAAAATTTTGAACATCGTTTATTTCATTACGTTTCGGCGAGACAACAGCGCCATCATCAGATTTAAAATTTACACAAACTCATGATTGGTAAAAATCAACGTTTTGAACTGAAAATGTGTTTTGACTAGATGCAAGAACTTAAGACTTGTACCAAAATTCATTCAGGTGAGGAGGAGAAATTTTAATTTTAGGAGAGAGCGGAGTAATGAAAATTATTTGAAGGTACTAAATATTTTTTATATGCAAGTTTTAAATATAGTGCTAAGTGATTGTTTTCCCAAAATCAACGATATCAATAAAAAAATTATAAACACAGATAAATCCTTAAACAATAAATACAACCAAAACGATTTAAAAGCATTCTTTGAACAACAAAAACAACAATACGAAAAAGAGACAAATTTAAGGTTTCAAGAAGGCAAAGACCTAAAAGAACGTTGATTTTTACCATGAGTTTGTGTAAATTTAAAATCTCATGATGGCGCTGTTGTCTCGCCGAAACGTAATGAAATAAACGGTGTTCAAAATTTTTACTTCACACTTTGACTGAAACTCAGGAAAGATAAGAATATCATAACAAATCGACGCAGTCAGGAAAATAAATGAGATTAAATGAAAATGCGGAAGAGTCTAAAAAGCATCGATTTTTTAAAGCTGGTAGGTAAATGGGCAATTTGTATGTATTTTGTTAATCAAGCAGCAACGTTAATCTATTCATAGATAGATAGATAAATATTTATTGGTAATAATTCAAAAAGGATTTTTTATAAATCTAAATAGATATTGATTCCATAATATAATTGTTTTCCATTCCATTCATCCACCAAACCATGTGACTGAAAGATTAAATATTTCACCAAGCTGTACAAAAAAATGATAGAATATTCTGGAGGGTTCCCATCGTTCTTATGGACAAACAATTAGCACCCTGACAAAGGTGACTATAAATTGCCAAAAGCTTGGTAGCTAAAAAAGTTTTTCTTTTTCTTCACCACTGCCCAGACCGAATTTCCAAGAAAATCAACCATCTTGCAATGATATAATTAATGTAGATGAAGAAACTTATTAAAGAATGCGCACAA